GTTACCCTCTCCGGCATGTCGCTGGCTTCTGCTGGCCTCCTATTTATAGAGCTCAGGATCCTCCCAAATTCTTGTCATATGCAGCCAGGGACGTCTCCCTATCTTTGTACTTGTGGCTGAATGTTCTGCAGAGCTGACTGACCCGGGAGCAACCATCTGCAGGACTCCAGACCATAAAACAATGTTACAGCAGAGAATGTCCGGACTCAACTTCCCAGGCCTGGCGTCTCATTGAGGGGACCTCTGGCAGTCCTCAGTCCCACCACCGGGACCTTCCGTCCTTCCCTTCAGTCTTCTATCTGACCTCCGTCCCCCCCTTCAGTCTTATATCTGACCTCCGTCCTTCCCACGGGCGTCAGGGGATTCCACGCCGCTGCCGCCCCGAGTCCGGGCCTCGGTGGGCTTGTGGGGAAACCGGCCCTGTTTGGGAGAAGAAGTGATGGGAGGGGGGACACAGACGATAAATAAAAGAAGGTTTAACCCTTTCCTAACCGATCCAATATATGTGTCACTGACCTCACTGGGACAACCGCCTGCGTTTTGCTGTGCGTTTTGATACAATGGAGCTCTATCAGATGCGATTGGACGATTCACCGATAACACGTTCAATAAAATAAAGTTTGATGCGCATTAAATCCCGCCGCGGTGCGGACTCATCACACGTCTTCTAAGCCTTCCCTCTTCTCTCCAGCATGGCGAACCCCCAGATCGTGCAAGGCATGCAGAGTGACCTCACCTGCCAGCTCTGCCTGGAGCTCTTCCGCTCCCCCATCACCACGGAATGCGGGCACACCTTCTGCCAGGGATGCTTGACCGAGGCCCCCAAGGGCCAGGACCAGAACGGCTCCGCCCTGTGCCCCACCTGCCAGGCCCCGACCCACCCCCAGGCTCTTCACATCAACCAACAGCTGGAGAACCTGGTCCAGAGCTTCAAGCAAGTCCCGCGGGGCCACTGCCTGGAGCACCTGGACCCTCTCAGCGTCTTCTGCGAGCAGGACAAGGAGCTGATCTGCGGGGTGTGCGCCTCGCTGGGCAAACACCGGGGCCACAACATCATCACCGCCGCCGAGGCCCACACCAAGATGAAGGTAATGAGCGTTTCTCACCTGGTGGGGGTTTCTGGGGGCTGCTTTCCTCTCGTATGGCGATTTGTCATACAATAGCGCAGTTCTGTTTCTCACTTATTATTGAGGTGCGGACGATTGTTTATGGGGGGTTCCCTATTTCTTTGGGTGTCTTCAGGTTCTATTGGTATAGTCCAACCTGAAGGAGCACCAAACACAAGTATTAGGAGTCCAGAAATGTATTTTATCGGTTCCACAGATAGATAACAAATGGGAGCCAACGCGTTTCAGGGGCCAAACAGTCCCCCTTCATCAGGGCTTTAGTAACTGATCGGGAGAGGATCAGAACACGCATCTCCTCACCGGAGCCGCATGGATCGGATGTGACCGCTGGGAGATCCGTGTGCGTCCACAATGCAATGGAGGAAAGAACTACAACTGATGGACCCCATTGCGGTCTATGGGGAGTTGTATGTTAGCGGACACGTGTCCATTCACACAGAGGCGTGACTGTAGATCAAGGGGCCCCATAGCAAAACTTTGATGGGGCCCCTCTAATGTCACTGATATTAAAGTCAGGTAGCAGGAGAGCTGTATGCAGTGGCGTAACAATCACCATAGCGACCCAGGCGGCCGCTATGGGGCCCGGGGCACGGCGGGGCACGGCCAGGACATCTCCCTGATGCCGCGCGGGCCGTCTGGGTCGCTATGAACAAGTTTTTTTGCATGCCGGCTGGCGAGTGTGCCGGGAAAACTTTTCGCTGTGTAAAGCCCTTCCATGTGCGCCGCGCTGTGAAGCTGGTAACGAATCGATGAGCACGTTTACCATTTGTTTTGCTTGACTGAGGCTGGGCATGACCCGGAGTGTTGCCGGGTGACACCCCCCCCCCACCGTGACGTCATTGCGCCTGCGCAGCGAACTTATTGATACTTGCCGGCGGCCATCTTGCTGATGAGGGGAGGGGACAGTCACCCGGTGAGATTAGGTAATGCCGCCGGGTCCCCCTCCTCTCTCCTGACACTGTCGAGGTCTCAGTCCATGACCGAGCGGCCCGGCTTTCATAGGGGGTGACACCATAACGACTGTCAGTCATTTTGGTGTCACCCCTCTATTGGTATCACCCGGTTGCTGGCCACACCCCCTGCTCCCCCCTTGTGACGGCACTGGTCACTGGCCCTCAGTCTAGCCAAGGGACACAACGTCACGGAGCAATGAAGGAAGATCCTCTATGAATTGGAATGTATCCCGGCACAGCTACATTGTATTTCCTGTGTGAGGACAACGGAGGACTGATCCCTATACACGACATTAATACGGTTACATATGTTTCTTGCAGAGACAACTCCCCCAGCAGCAGGTCCTCCTGCAGGAAGCGCTCCTGCGGAAGGAGAAGACCGTGGCGGTTTTGGACCGGCAGGTGGCCGAGGTGCAGGTACGTCTCTTCAACATGCCAAACTTTATCGCCAAATGTCTCTATTTCTTCCAGGAGAGCGTACGGCCATAATGTGACCGCATAGAAACATCAAAGATAACGTAGAAAAAACTGACTGCAGCTAAAGTTGGACTCCAGGCCAATAGCTGAACACATAGAGGTCACCCTGCTCTCTCCCCCATCAGCATGCTCATTGCATTGCTGCACAAGTGACTGGCTCCAGCAAGCTTATGCTACATTTAATGAATAGAGAGCTGCATGAATGTCTTCTATCTGCCCGGAGTTCCGCTTTAGCCCTATTTAAAGGAGAACTATGGGGTCAAGGCTTTTCCCCATAGTTCTCCTTGGGGTAACGGGAGGACACAAATCTAGCCTTCAAAATGACCGATACCTCCCCACATGCGTATGTCTTATTGTCTGAGACATCGTGAGCGGCAATGAGAAGCGACGCTAAGTTGACATCCTTACCCTCTAAAATATCTTTCCGTAAGACCTGAGGCATCCGGATTCCCATCTCTTCAAATGTCCCTCTTCCAGCAGGGGCGCAGTGATGAAGCAGGGAGCCGGTTAGGTAGTCATGTGACCACCCTCCCGGCTTCCTGATTGGATGGGAGGCCACAGCCACACTCCCTCGCAGCTTCCCAGGCACCGAGGACTGCGGCTGTTATGTGATGAATGTTAAGCCTGTGACCCGGATTGGATGGGAGGCAGCAGCCACGCCCCCTTGCAGCTTCTGCGGCTGTGAGGAATGTAAGTGGCGAGTGCTGCTGCGCTCTGTATCGCTGAGCCGGTCACAGAGCGATCTTTGGGATCTCTCCACCGTCACAGTGACAAAAAAAAACACGGTGCCGGCTGTTGCAGTTTCGGTGTTGCGCTCGGGTTGATTAGGGTGCGCCCAGGTACACCCAGCACACCCTGCGTGCACTCCTGTGCCTGCTTGCACTACAGTGGGAGGAGAAGTTGTTGCGGGGGGGGCGTGGTTATCAGCATTGTCACTGATGATTCATATGCCTGTAGCTTGTCAGTCATCACCTGGACACACCCAGCCCTGCCCACTGTGCTATGGATCGCCTCTGTTACTGAATCCCTCCCACTGTGAGTGAGCTGCAGTGCCTGGGAGGGGGAGCGTGTGAGACACAAATGAGGGAGGATTTGGATCAGTTAGGGGTAAAGGAAGATTTTTGTTACTTTATGGGGCTTGTGAATCACATAGTACATGT